TGTTACAAGAGGAAATGCTCGTTCTCAAATCGTTGGAGAGAACGGTAGCCTGGTGTTCGATGGCGAGCTATGTGAAGGTCAACTTCTGGTAGTGCCACAAAACTTCGCAGTGTTGACACAAGCTGTAAATGAAGAGTTCAGGTGGATCTCCTTCAAGACCAGTGACAATGCATGGAGAAGCGCACTTGCTGGAAGGAACTCAATTATGCGGGCAATGCCAGAGGAGGTGTTGATGAACTCATATCATATCTCAAGAGAAGAAGCAAGAAATTTGAAGTACAACCAAGAGCAGATGGAGGTGTTAAGTCCAAGGACACGGTCATGGGGGCAGCCTTCAGCTTAATCAGGTTGTCTGTTTTTTTGTTAGAGGAAAGAATCGGTTCAGTCGAGAAATTAAATAAAGTGAGAAATCAATAAACAACCTCTTGATAGAGTTGGAAGGTTGACAATAATGCTTGTACGAGTTGTGTGAATGTAGATGCTTTAATTTACACTCAAATAAACAACCTTTTTTTATGTCATTTTGTTTTGTTCTCCAATCCGAGTTAATCCGAGTCAGGCACTTAATTACTGGGTTTGTTTGCAGTACAATTTAATTTGCACCGGTTCAAAAGTATGTACAAATTAATGCTGATGGTCATCAAGTAAAACAAGGCATGAAGCAAAGTAGAACACAAAATATAAATGAAATAGAACACAAAGTAGAATACAATCTTGAAACCCAATGCGATGGCAGACGAAGCCAAGATACAGAAGATTTGCCGCTCCTCAACATCATTTTGCGATCTCCATTCTGTGGTCAAGATTGTGTTCAACATCGGGAAAAAACAATGGTGTTGAAGCTTCAATGGCGGAATATATAAGAGCGACTTAGGTTTTCCAAGAACATATTGAAACTTCCATTTGACTAATGGACTCAGGGGTTCACTGCATTTGATAGTGAATTTGGATATGGGTCTAGAGCACCCATTCTCATAAGAGATCCTTGAGTTCAAATCCAAATTTCAAATTCAAATAAAGATTTGGATTAGGAATCTCCTAATTCGATTAGGAGTGGTGCTCCTTAAGGCTTAAGAAAAGAGAGAATCGAACTGCTCGAGATTACACTCTCTGTTGTCAGTTCTCACTCTCTGCTCTTGCTGCCAGAAACCCTAATTCGATCTCCCCTTGGACTAATTTTTGATCAGTTCGTTCTCTGAATTTTGCAAGAAAAKTGCAGAGAAAATTCATGCTCACCTCCCTTGTTTGACCCATACTATTGGATTGCAGTTTTACTGAAAACTGCTGCTGATCCGGCTTCATTCAAAGCTGCATCATTTTCAGTGGAAGCTGGTTTTGGGATTCAGTTTGGGCATCAACTACCACCTTGTGAGCTACATCTATGAATTCYGTATCAGGTATGCTCCTCCCTTCCTTTTAGTTTCAGATTTATTGCAGTTTCGGTGCAAGAACGATCATTGAAAAATACAGTTTTTCTAAAACTGTGAATTCGATTCCCGGAAGGCAAAAGAAAATTTTTTGAAAATTTGCGCTACCATCCAGCATGGTTCGGCCATCCATATAATGGATTACACCTTCCTTCAGTGGTATCAGAGGCAGATTTGATTAGTTCCTTCTCTGAATTTTGCAAGAAAATTGTAGAGAAAATTTGTGCTCACCTCCCTTGTTTGAGCCGTACTATTGGATTGCAGTTTTGTTGAAAACTGCTGCTGATCTGGCTTCATTCAAAGCTGTGCCATCTTCAATGGAAGCTGGTTTTGGGATTCAGTTTGGACATCAACTACCACCTTGGAGCTACACCTATGGATTCCGTATCAGGTATGCTCCTCCCTTCCTTTTAGTTTCAGATTTATTCCGGTTTCGGTGCAAGAACAATCATTGAAAAATGTAGTTTTTCTAAAACTGGGAATTCGATTCCCGGAAGGTGAAAGAAAATTGTTTGAAAATTTGCGCTATCATCCAGCATGGTTCAGCCATCCATATAATGGTTTACACCATCCTTCAGTGGTATCAGAGCCAGGTTCAGTGTTGAACCAAAAAAGATCATATCTGAACCAATGTTCAAATTGACAGAACTAGTCTGGCCGAATTTGAGTAGCTTGCAGTTTTCTGAGAAATCGGTTCTTAGTTTTGGGCGAATTGACCTGAAATTTTTAGGATTATATTCTGATATAATTTAGAATTGTTCTACTATGATTTCTTTGGTTCTTGGGCTGTTTGTGTGATGGAGAAAGAATTCTTTTATAGCGCCAAGATCTACGCACCCGAGAATTATTATTTGATTATTGGTCTGTAATAATTTTTTTCTTTTTAGAAAAATTGTATTAGGTTTTTTTTCTGATGTATGCAATAGAAAATTAGGAATTTTCTATTTTTTTTACATCAGAAGACCTGTTGGAGCGCACGGAGGAGAAGAAGAAAGTTTTGTGGAAAAACTAYAATGCGATTAACAATTTTTTTGCAGGTTTGCAGTTCATCCGGATCAGATTCGGACCATCACACTTATAGCCCTAGTTTATCATTTATTTTCTATATTTGATTTTCAATTTTCGGTTGATTAAATTTCAGATTATATTCAAATGAATTGTTGCATGTCTTGGACACCAAACCCTAGGCCAATTTGACCTAGTTTGGTCCAAACTAGTTGGGCCGAACCAAAAGTTCRATGGGGTCTAATCACAGCCCCATGGGTCACAATTTTGGTGGCTCAAAATCGAATTTGGCCCAAGGGTTTGATAGCCCATCACATGGA